CCCAGTGTTGAACAGCACATAATCTCATTAAATAAAATAAGTAATTTGTTAATATTAAATATGTAGTAATGTCTTAAAGGGCACCTATTAAGCCCCTTTTACAAGATGTAATATAAGTCTCAAGTGTCCCCAGATTGTGTCTGTGAAGTTTCAGCTCAAAATACCCCACAGATCATTATACCATTTTGAAAATATCAATTTGGAGTGGAAGCAAAAACACGTCGTTTTCATGCATGCATCTTTAAATGCTCCCTGCCGCCTTTTCCAGAAGAGGGTTGTGCCTTTATAGCTCTTACCTCGGATACTCTGCCAAAACAAAACATCTGTCTGGTTTTGATTATCATGTCTATCGTGCCGAAAACTTTTTGCGTTTTGAAGCCATTTCAGTTTAAACTTCTAATATAGGGTTTTCTAAGGGCACACATCCGAAGCACGCGCACAGAAAGTGACTGTCACACGGCATGTGAGCACTAAACTAAGTTCTCTTTCATGTCTTATTGCGCTTAAACTGTCAAATACACAGATAATTTACATAAACACAGTAGGTTATATCTGTAAACGTAAACAGCTGGGAAAGAAATTGCATGTTTATATTAGATTAGTGTATTAAGTGACAGCAGCGTAATATACAGTAGCTACTGCTGTCTATGCTGTTAATATGACCCAAACATAGAATATAATTCGAAATTTGATAATATTTAAGTAAAAAATTTGAATTTAGTTTTTCAGCCATTTTGACAGCCCTAAAACACTGGTAAGAATTTAAAAGTAATGCAATTTATAAACTTTAGTGACGATATGTGACTGCCTCGATTGTGCAAGTGACAATTCCTGTGTAAACTGTGCAGCGTGCAGCTCGCTTATAGACAGACGTGAGATCACATTCAGCATTATAATTATTTCACCCGCACCGGACAGAGACTGTGCCGCTGCATGTCATGCCAAACCTCTCACGACAGCGTCATCAGCTTGAGATCAGTTTTTTGAGATCGGCCTTTTTAGAGACCGCCGATCAATCATCCCAAAGCGATTATCGTCCGATAGTGATCGTTTTGGTTATCGTGTATATCGTGCTGGAATCATGTGTTTTAAAGCCATATCAGTTTTAACTTCTGATATACAGTTTTCTGACCGCGCACATCCGAAGCACGCGAACAGAAAGTTTCTGTCACACGGCATGTGAGTAATGTTACTAAACTAAGTTCTCTTTCTTGTCTTATTGTGCTTAAACTGTCAAATACACACAAGGTTATATTAAAAACACTTTACAAAAACACAGTCGGTTATGTCTGGGAAGGTAAACAGCTGGGAAAGAAATCGCTTGTTTATATTTGATCTGTGTATGAAGTACCTAATCTATAGCTGTCTACGCTGTTAATATGACCCAAACAATAAATAAAAACAGAAAATCACTCACTGCTCTTGGCTGAATAATTTCTGTAGCTTTAATAAGAAGACATTTCTTACTTAAATGCTAGGGGTGCTCCAATCAGGATTTTTTAGGCCGATCACCGATCGCCGATCACAGAAAGCAGTATCTGGAGCGCTTTCAGAGTATGCATTTATTTGTCATTTGAACTGTTTGGAAACGGAGCGTAAATGTGGAAGTCCTTCAAAGATTTCTTATCCTGTTGTGCCCTCTATTGGACCAGCGACTAGTCGACGTCAAGCTTAAAGCGTCATGGCAGAGCATTGAAGTCGACTAGTCGACTAGTCGATTAGTCGGTGCAACCCCTAGATGACGCTGAGTTTTCTTTACAAGGACATTCGCAGGCTTCATTGCACCGGATGCGCTGAGAGATGCGCGCTTTGCTTGATGTTACACTTGAAGTGTGCGGTCTCGCCTGTCGGTATTTTTCTGCTCTACAAAGTCATAATTTATGTGGTTTTGAATGCAGTGGACTTATATATTTAAAATATGAACCTCACTAACAGAAGGCTGCTTTCAATTTCAAATGCTGACGCGCGCTTTGTTTTTGAAGACTGTTGGCGCATGCGGCTGTGCGCGACTCTGTGTAAGTGGTTTCATGCACTTGCGTCTCAAAATGGTTTTATGACGCAAAATTAATGTAAACACAGCCAGTTATGTTTTAAGGGATTAAACGGACAGGACAAACCACATTACTTCTTATATTTCAAAAGAGATCCGTGCGTGAATGCAGCTAGACATTTATTCAGGGCCTGAATTTCATTTTTGAAAATGGGGGGAATTCCCCTCTTAGGTGTCTCTTGTGAGAGAAGAAGCAGCTTTCACACAGGAGTCCGCTACTGATCCGTGGCTGTTTACAACAAACATAACATTTATCCATTATTTTTATTTCAAATCCAAACATTGTCACTGAAAATGCTTTTTCAGCATTGCAATTCTTTTTTTACACAGTACAGTAATACAGTCTTTCATAGACATGTTTAAATACAATAAATATAAGCAACACATTATTCATTGCTTTTTACTTTTGCATTTACTTAGATTTATATATTAAGTTGCTCAAGCAAGTGGCAAAACATTTAAACTACTTTTCTTAC